CATGACACCGCAACAGAATGGAGTAGCAGAGCGTATAAACAGAACCCTGAATGAACATACCAGAAGTATGAGGATACATGTCAGATTGCCCAAATTTCTATGGGCTGAAGTTATCAACACTGCAGCTTACTTGATCAACCGTAGGCCCTCAGTTCCTTTGGATGGCAGAATAACAGAGGAAGTTTGGAGCAAGAAAGAAATAAACCTTTCACACTTAAGAGTGTTTGATTGTATTTCTTATGTACACATAGACTCTGCTGAAAGAAGTAAACTTGATGCTAAGTCCAACAAATGTGCATTTGTTGGTTATGGCGGTGATGAGTTCGGTTATCGGTTTTGGGACTATGAAAATCAGAAGATCATCAAAGCAGAGATGTCATTTTCAATGAGAATGTGATGTACAAAGACATATCAACTGTAGAATCAAGCAGCTCCAATACCGAAGCTGAAACAAAGGAATTTGCTGAGTTCGAGGAGATTTCTGGAAATGATGTTCAAATCAGTCATGAAGAAGTTCAAGAAGAACCAGGTACACCGGAACTAAGACGCTCCTCCATAATTCCTAAACCAACCCAGCGGTATTCACCTTCTTTGCACTACTTGTTGCTGACTGACAATTGTGAACCAGAGTGCTATGATGAAGCAATGCAAGTGGAGGATTCAGTCAAGTGGGAGCCTTCCATGAAAGATGAGATGGACTTGCTTATGTCAAATCAGACGTGGGAATTAGCTGAATTACCACCAGGCAATAAAGCGCTCCACAACAAGTGGATTTACAGGATCAAAGAAGAGCATGATGGGAGCAAACACTACAAAGCAAGATTGGTTGTCAAAGGTTTTCAGCAAAAAGAAGGTATTGACTACAATGAAATTTTCTCTCCAGTCGTAAAACTGTCCACAATCAGACTGGTGTTGAAAATTGTAGTTGCAGAGAATTTACATCTTGAGCAGTTAGATGTAAAGACAGCTTTCCTTCATGGTGATTTGGAGGAAGAAATATATGAGACAGCCAGAAGGCTTCATAGAGTCAGGCAAGAAAAACCTGGTATGCAGGTTGAAGAAGAGCTTGTATGGTTTAAAACAAGCACCTAGACAGTGGTACAAGAAGTTCGATAGCTTCATGGGTAGCAGTTTTACCAGATGCCAAGCAGATCATTGTTGCTACATTAAGAGGTTCGACAATAGCTTCATTATTTTATTGTTGTACGTTGATGACATGCTCGTTGCAACTCAAACATGCAAGGATTATACACTTGAAGCAAAAATTGTCGAAGCAGTTTGCTATGAAGGATCTGGGCGCTGCAAAGCAATTCTTGGGATGAGGATCAAGAGAGACACAAAGTCGGGGACTTTGATGTTATCATAGGCTGAGTATATCAACAAAGTACTCTCCAGGTTCAACATACAAGATGCTAAACCAGTAAGTACACCTTTAGGTGTTAATTTTAGACTCTCCAAAGAACAGTCACCAAAGACGAAGGAAGAACGTGCACACATGGTGAGGGTGCCGTATGCCTCAGCAATTGGAAGTCTAATGTATGCCATGGTTTGTACCAGACCAGATATTGCTCAAGCAGTGGGAGCTGTTAGTAGGTACATGAATAATCCGGGCAAAATACACTGGGAAGCAGTCAAATGGATCCTCAAATATCTGTGGGGTACTACAAGCAAAGAACTTTGTTTCAAAGGTGGAGATACGATACTGACAGACTATGTAGATGCTGACTTAGCCTATATTGACATCAGAAGGAGCACTACAGGGTATGTCTATACTCTAGGAGGAATTGCAGTGATTTGGGTTTCTCAACTACAGAAGATAGTTGTTATCTCCACAACTGAAGCAGAATATGTCGTTGTTACGGAAGCTAGCAAGGAGATGGTTTGGTTCCAAAGTTTCTTGGAAGAGTTAGGCAAGAAACAAGAAAACAATGTCTTGTATTGCGACAATCAAAGTGTTATCCATCTAGCAAAGAATCCGTATTTTCATTCCAGGACAAAGCACATACAATTGAGATATCATTTTATCCAATCTCTTCTGGAAAATGGGATTTTGAAACTTGAAAAGATTAGTGGAGCTCAAAATACGGCAAACATGTTGACAAAGACGGTGACTACAGACAAACTGAAGTTGTGTTCAGCTTCAGTTGGCATGCTAGAATAACAAGACCAGAAATACTGCTGCATTGATCGAGGTGTGAAGACAGATTAAAATCAGTCTTCAAGTGGGAGATTATTAAAAGTTAGTTCAAAGTTTGGTAAATGTGTCTTTGAAAATGTTTTTCAAAGTTTGGTAAAGTTTGTTGAAAATATGAATGGGTAAATTCACTTTAGTTATTATACTTTAGGGTATTTTCAAAGATTAGTCCTTAAGTTTCAACTATAAATACCCTAGCTCATTTAGCTTCAAAATCATCCCAAATCCCAAATCATTTATTTCTCCCAATACTAGAGAGTTTCTTGTGAGTAGTGAGTCTTTTGTAAACACCTGTAAATTTTCTCTCTTAGTAAAAGATCTGCAACAGTCCGGAGACGTAAGCACAATTAGCTGAACTCCGTTATCAATTTTCGGGTATTATTTTTCCGCTTTTATTTTGCATTCTTACTAATCTGGTTATAGGGAAATTACTCGTACTCGGTTTATTTCCTAACAGTCTAAAGGTGGGTTAGATCTAAAAGATATTCGAACTTGTAACAAAGCGTGCATCATTCAGCTTATTAAGAATATCCTAATTGGAGATGGTCCCTTGTGGGTGGCTTGGATTAAGAAATACATCCTCAGGGGTGAAGAATTTTGGCATGTGGGTGTTAAAACTAATGTTAACTGGATTTTAGAAAAAAAATTGAAGCTGAGGGCATTTTCTTTCCTCTGTTTGCATTTGTTACTGGTGTGAATCTGCAGTCAGACGTATCTGGGAGGGAATTGCGGGTTAAAGGGAATAGAGTGGCTTAGCACAAACTTGTTTGGTTTCCTGATCATGTCCCTAAGCATGGTATTATTGATTAGATAGTAATTCTTGGGAGGATTCCTACTAAGAACGGACTTATGAAGATGAAGATAGTCACTGAGTGTAGATGTATTCTTTGTGATGTTGCTTTGAAAATCAGAGATCACCTATTGTGTGAATGTGTTTTTACATAAAAGTTTGGGGACATATTTTGGATATGTGTGGCAGGCAGAGAAGGGCTGTGAGATGGGAGAAGGAGCTGGTTTGAGTTGTTTGTCATCTCAGTGGGAAAATGCTTCGTTCCAGCATCCTTAAACTTGCTTGGAATGCCATCATAATACTATATTTGGGAAGAGAGAAATCATAACGTGGTCGGATGTGGGCTGCTGAGGATGTTATGTTTATCATCATTGAAGTGATCCAAATTAGGTTGAGGGGTAAAATCATAGACATGGTTGATGGGTTGAATTTTTGTCTTCGTAATGCTTGGGGTTTTTTATGGTTAAGGGCCTCCTGATTTATCTCTTGTAATTTGTAGTAGATTCTTACTTCATTTGGGTAATATAAATGTGTTAGGTATGGCTCATAAATATACCGGTAAGGGTTATTCTTGTAAATATGTACAAGAGTTTATTTATTATAAAAGGAGATGTAACCAAAACTTATGAGATATTGAATAAAAATTCTAGCGTCGCCTAGGGCACCGAGGACGTAAGCACATTATTGAACCTCGTTAAAATTCTTGTGTTATTTCCGTTTTCTTTATCCGATTTTTCAACAAAATGAAATTTATCTAAAAATTTTAATCGAACTCGATTTATTTGAATTATAATAAAAACAAGTTAACGACTTAAATAATTATAAATATTCAATTTATTATTTACTTTTATTGAATTTTATGTATAAAAAGTGAATAAATGAAAATTAAATATTCAAATAATAGTATATTCTTTTAAGGACGGCTCATATAAGAATTAAACATTCGAAAATGGTAAACGTACAATGTTGTCAAATATATTCGACTAATGGTCCGATCATTCATTTGGTTGAATAGGAGTAACATTTTTTTAATATATTTAAATAAAATATTTTACTGAATTTATTAAAATCATTGTATTCAATTAAATTTGATGTATATTTTTTTAAAATTAATAAATTTAATCTTTAATTTTTTTTTCATCTTGACTGTCTAATTTTAAATTGTTTTATTCAATTAAATGGTTGTTAGAATTATTGTGGTATTTTTTTATATTGACCTTTGACTTTTGATAAATAATTATTTTAATCTCTACGTTGTTTTATTCTGTTTTAAAACACTTTAATCTCAACATTTTTTGAGGTAAAATAATACAAATCGTTAGTTAATTAACGGTCAACTCATATATTTGACGTGAGACCGTTACGTATTCAAAATAGTAATGTGACATATTCCGCATGTTGAAAGTGATATTATGTATGGTACATGCACTGGCAGAGCCAATGTATTACAAGGGGTGTCAAATGACTCCCCAAAATGTTTAGAAAACTATTTTTTTTATAAATTTAATATAAAATATTTAAAAATAAAATTAAATAAATAATTTTTTTTTTAAATATGGGTACCTTTAAACATAAATTGATACCCATTATTTATTTTCATCCACTTAAAAAAAATTATACAATTTTTAATTTTGACGCCTAAAATTTTTTTTTAGCTCTGCTTCTGAGTATATGTTACGTGTTGAAAATGATAATATAATATTCTTAAACTAATGATAAATGTTTATCGTTAATTAATTAATAATTTCCATCCAATCAAGAATTATTTTATATTAAAATAAATATTAAGAAACAAAATACTTAAAAATTAAGAAACAAATTGGTGTTCAATTGGTTTTTTTTTTTTGCATTATACCTATTCGATAATATATAATGTAATGACGGAAATGATTGCAACTTCTAACATAGTTGTAATTTCAAAATAATAATAATTTAAACTTATTTTTAAAATATAGAAATATAAATTTACATTTTTCACCCATAATGGTGTGATAAATTGTAGTTTTGATTTAATTTTAATTTGATACTGCATTTTTAGTTTATACGATTTAGGTTACAGAAAATTATAGAATAGCAAATTTTCAGTTAATTTTGCGGCAGTTCTTTCGAACTTCTCCCTTGGGGCCTTCCTTAACATCAAGCCTCCCCATCTTCACCATTGACTGCTGGAAATCAAGGAAAAACCTTGCTTCGTTCATGACGTAACCATTGACAATGGCCCTCGTACCGGTCGCCGTATACAACACTTGATCCGAGAAAAGAACCCCATTTTTTCTCGTCAATGCATTGAAGTAATCATTGTCGAAATTTTTCGGCGTGTCGTCGAAAGATTGCTCAGCATTATCGCCTGCTCCACATGTTTTCGATAGTGCCTTGGCGAAATCGGAATCTAGGGTCGGATCTTGGTTACTCAACCTGTTCTTGAACGATGAACATCTTGCAACTCCTAATGTATGTGCCCCTGTATTAATGTACACGACCCATAATTAATTTGTGACACCAATTCAATAAAAAAGGTTACGTATAGTATAGATATAAATTACCGGACAAAGCGACCATATCTGTAGTAGTGAAACCTCGCCGCCCAAAGGCGTTGATGAGCTGAGAAGTGTTGAAGGAGGGGAAAGGCAAGTTGATTGTGTCTTCTATCTTAGACCTCCTTCCATCTCTTCTTCCTTTTGGTATATCATATATTGGCCCCCTGCCTGTTTTTCACCATTTAGTTGAACCGAGTTACGGATGTAGTTAGAGTATTATTCACGTAAATCACACACATCGAGTTTAGAATAATTAAAAAAATCTAGTAAATATTATTGATGGGAACATAATAATTTCATTTTTCGTGAGTGATTCATCCTTTCTAATTTGGATGGAGAATCGTGATCAATATTTTTGTATAACAGTTGGTTGATCGTGAAGAAGGAGAAGAGAGAGAAGAAGTAAGAGACTGTAAAAAGTGTCAACCGTTGTTTCAGTTATGTTGAAGAGTATTTATAGTGACCAGTCATATGATCTATGATGACCATTAGTAGAGTAACAAATTAGGTAGATTTAATAATCAGACTTTAGATTTTATTTTGGTGAATCTATCAAAAGTTTTATCTACACATTATATTTGACTGATGGAATGTTGACGATTTTTATCATGTTTAATTTTACGAATACTTTTGGAGGCTGTTTTTGGAGACAAAACAAATGTATAATGTAGGTTAAGCAGTTAATTACCCAGAAAATTGCATCTCCAGCAGCCATTGCAACAATATCGGCACACGAGGCAATGCCGGGGCATTGCTCTTCAAGTTGCTCCTTGGCATCATCAATAACCTCAAAGCCTCTCAAGCTCAAGTTCGCAGGGGAATCTTTTTCTGCGGTGTTATCCTCTGTCGAATCGACGAGAACGGACCCGTCACATCCCTGTTCAGTTCACCACATATTCGAACACGAGTCGGATCAATTAATCGGAAATGAAAAAGGAAAGGAAAATGAGAAAGAGAAATTAGGGACCTCAACGAAGCAATCATGGAAGTGCATTCGAAGCAAGGCAGCTGCTAGGGATGGATCATTTTGCAAAGCTTTGTTAACAGCGTTCTTCACTATTGACTCGGCAAATGGGAAAGTGGTAATGTAGTAGTCCATGCGGAGACTATTTGCGCTGCCGATGACAATCAGCATCACTAGCAACGTAGCCATCGCCATCTTTGCTAAACTCGAAGGCCAACCAATGAACTGAATGGATTCAAAGAGAAAGTATAGCTTGCTACAAAAGTGGACAGGAAATGCATATATAAATAAGTTTATTATAAGAATAATGCCAAAAAAAAATTAACCAACTTTTAATTTTCGTCCTTATTTTTCTATAGTATTTTAGTCGTAACGTTTCATTTTAAGAGAAAAAAACTTCAAATATTTGATTAAATAATCATTTTAGCCATTATTCTTTGTTTTTGAAGCATTTTGGTCTTAACACTTCATTTAGGATAAAAAAATTCTAATTTGAAGCGTTTACCTTTTATTGACTAATAGTTTCTATCAGCAAAAATATTTTTTTACCTTAAAATGAAATATCTAGAATTAAAATACTAAAAACAATAGAGACCAAAATAAATATTTAATCTAAGGCTAGAAATATTTTTCCATCACTGTGAACACACTCATCTTTATACTAATAGTGAATTAGATGATATTATCTTTTTACAATATTCTATTTCATTTATACAAAATACGAAACATTAGAAATAAATAAAATATGACAATCTTAATTAAATCAATTGCATGTAGGACTACACGTAACACATTTACTATACTTTAGATATTCATAATGTTTGCAAAAGTTATACCGAACAATTTTCTTCTCTCAATACAATTTTATTAGCAATTTTTTTTAAAAAAAAAAATCCAATTTATTTCGTTCGTGAAAATTATTTTAAATCCATATGAGACAGGTTCAATAATAAAATTAAGGTCTCGAATACTTTAAAGTCTTTAAATCTGGCTTTATGTATATTATGTATAGATTATCATCATTTCTTTATGTGAGTGCTATTCAAATTTATTTTAATTTTTCAAATGTAGGTTGTAATATTTGATTTTGATTATAATTTTCTCAAAAATATTTATAAAAAATCTTAAAATTTATTAAAATTAAGAAGAAAAATAAAAAATGGCAGAAAATTGATAATACTTTTTTTGATAAATTTAGGATAACTACAATATAATATATATTCAAATATTATAAATCATTTGACAATGAACATTCATACATTCATATATGAGGTGGTCAAACTTAAAACCTCAAGGGATAACAATAATCTCTTGCTTGGTTGGTGCGAAAAACTGATAACACCTAAATAACTTGGAATATATGAAAAAAAAGATAAATTACATTTTTAGTACCTAAATTATTATTTTTATTCTGTTTTGATACTTAACTTTTATTTTTTTCAAACCATATATAATATTTAGTTTAAGTTTCAATTCGGTACCATGTTGTTAAAAAAATTACAAGATTACTAAAGTGATATTTTTTATAAAAAAAATCAATGATGATATGACATTACATTAAGGTGACACATGAAATCACCGCAACATCATCATTAAATTGTTAACGATAGGACACACATAAATTAAACGTTAAGTATAGGTTTGAAAAGAATAAAGTTTAGGTGTCAAAATGAAACAAGAGTAATAATTTAGATAGTAAACTTGTAGTTTATCCGAAAGAGAACCGTAGAAAACATTGGGATAGGAATGAAATGAAGGGAAGTGGAGGTACGTGGAAATTGGTATGCAGCTGTTTTCCATGTTGAATGGTCTCATTGTCTTCCATAGTGGACTGTGGAGGGAGAGGACTTTGTTGGTATTTTATGGAATTTGCCACCCAAATCCAATTATCCTATTTCAGTTGTTTCTACGCGTACAACTTAAAAACAAATTGGGTAAAATGTACAAGATATTGTTGCTTTTTTGTTTTTGTTTTTCTCATCAAAATTGTTATTAAATTATAAATTGATATGATTTTAATACAAAATTTTAGTTTTACATACAATTATACCACTGAATTATTAATCTACTAACAATTAGATGATATGATATTTTGGTGTTGATGTAGAAGCAAAAAAATTATATTGTTTATTTTATCTCACCACTTTCTTCAGTAAAATTAGAATTTTTCACTCATTTTTATTTGTTGTCGGAAATCGTCACTAATTCACGTTTTCTGTAACTCCTATAAACAACGATGAATTTGTATTATCGTCTCCTATAATTTTGTTGGTTTAAATTTTTCAAAAATTTCTTTAAAATTCACAAAATTGAAAGAAAAAAAAATACATTTTTTATGTTTAGGGGATTTCTAGGCTTTGAGGGGTTTGGGGATTTTGTTCAAAAATCTAAATTGTAAGTAGTATTGGTTTTGAGAAGACGAACAACATACCTCAAAACTAGTCTCATGATCATCGAGGAGATTTGATAACACATTGAACCTTAAAAAGATTTTTATTAATTTTGAACTGATTTTGTAGAAAACCAATCCAATGAGAAGAATAAAAAGTGAAATGAAAACATTTTGGTATCATATTATTGCTAATCATAACTGATGACCGACAATTGATTGTCGGTAAAAGTTTAATGCCTAAAAATGAATCATTTTGAAGTTTAATGACAAAATCGATATATAAAATAAAAAGTTTAAAGAGCTGTAAAAATGATGATATTACATTGACGAAAATTTCCGTTCATATCATTGTAATGTTTATCATTTAATGAATCAATGCTATAATTGTATATAAAATTAAATATTTAATGTTATTTTGAACAAAAAAATAAAATTTAATAATATTTGAGGTAATTTACTCAAACAAATTATGATGTTAAAAATGACTAAATGGATTGGGAACTAAATGTTAGACGCTGAATCCAATCAATATTTCAAATGGATCTAATTTTATACAAAATCATTTTATGTCTAATATTTTTGTTTAAATCCTTTTCGATTTTAAGAAAATACTTTAAATTCAAACATCTAACCCGATGGTTCAACTGGTTTGGATAAAACTAAAAGAAAATTTGTAGAATTTAGTTAAATATTTTTAATTTTTTTAAAATTCTATATAAAATTCTATATAATATATATTTTTCAATTTTATATTTTACATAAATTTTAGAGCAAAATAATATTAATTTTAAGAGTAAACATACAAGATACTACTAATTTTTAAGTCTAAATTTAAATGGCATAATATGAATACATTTTTTTTACTATAATGATATGGACAAAACAATGTCATTTTGGTGACGACGAATAATGTCTTAAACAAAATCGTTTTAGATATTAAATTTTAGGGGTATATTACTTTTGAGTAGGTTTCATGAAAAATCAATCAATGATAGAAAAAAAAAGGAAATAAAATGCAAATGTTTTAGTACAAAATTTGCCGTGAAAGACGAGCGATGATTGACTATCAGTAACGATTGAAAAAATGTAATGCCAAAATTTAAATTTGTTTAAAAATTCAATAACAAAAGTGACACTTCATCTAAAATTTGATGTCTAAAATAACATCATTTTAAATATCAATAATCATCGTTAAAATGATATAATTTTATCCGTATCATTTGAATTCTAATAGACATACTAATATAATTAAAATAAAAATAAAAAATCAATGTTATCAATAAAGAAATTGAAAGTCGAATTTTATCACGGAAAATTCAGTGAGATATCTTGTGTAGTTTACCCAACAAATTATTTTAATTTGTGGAATTTCAACTCTCCAAATTTCATTTTAGAATCGAAAAAGAGACTTCAGCAAAATAAAAGCAAAACGGACAAGATGATAGTCAAAAGCCCCAAAACGGGATCATAATTTCTTTCTACTTGATCCTTTTTTTTTCCCATTCTTTTTATAAAATTAAATAATCTTGGCAAAAATATATACAAAGAACAAAACAACGGCCTTTAGGCCAGTTCCTTTAATGTACACGTTGATGAAGCCTCCCTTCAGAACACCCCCACATTTCAACCATCATGGGGAGTTCAAGCTCTTTCCGTAGCTTCTGGTCTCATTCTTGCATAGACCAACGCTTGGAGTCGTCCGCACCAACTCTTTGCTGCATCGGTTGCAAAGAAACTTGGCAGGCACTGCCTCGGAATCCTTAGTTCCGGAACACCTCGTGTGCTGCCACACCCCACATACATCGCAAGCCAACATCCTTTCCCCATCATCATCCTTGGCTCCGCATTTGCAGTCCACTGTCCACCTTTCCATCCCTCTTTCCAACCTATATTTACTAACCCCGATTTTCCATGGACATCTAACTCGAAGTCGAGCTGATCCCGTTGACCCCATCAAGAGCTTGACCTGGGTGGAATCCTCTACACCTCCAAAGCCAACCAACTCCTCAGCTTGGAATCTTCTGAATGCCAAATATACTTCCTGGAAAGCCCTCAAAGCTTCAGTCTTAAGGTCTGCTACAGTTGCTTTCTCTGGTAAAACTACTAGTTCTGCAGGTGGATCCGGCGCGATTTCTTTATGTTGATCTGTAAGCTCCAACTCACATGAGATGCAAACTAAATCTCCATTCCCACTCGATAGCGTCTCATTCTTGTAATGTTTCACAAATTGCTTGCAGTCAAGGAGCTTCTCAGCTGAGCTGATGGCAAGATTTCTAATTTCATCAGGAGGGCAGATCGACATGGTTTGAGGATGGAGTATGGATTGGTACAAGAATTTAAGATCCTGCTTAAGAATTTCCTTGCATGGAGGACAGTTAGAAACACAAGTATCATTCCCACTGGTGCTTGCAGACATATTTCGAGGCTCAAGCCTGTAACAGATGAAAACAAAATATTAGAGTATGTACTGTAAATACTACAACTGCTTTTTGGACAAGTAGAAGTAAAAGTAATAATCCCATGATTAGTAAATTGTTCAGAGACTGTAAAATCTGATGGCTGCACGGGCAAAAGACAGGTTTATGTGAACAAGGTATTTAAAGACATCAAATCACATACCTATACTCAAGAGAACCAGAATCAGGATTGCGTCTTGCATTGACAACCCTTCCTTCACCTGCCACTTTCCCACGAAGTTCCATGAGGCAATTCTCAAGGAGAGCTGGAGGAGCAACTCTGCAGACAGCTCCCTTAAGTGCACGTGAATTTACCCAGTTGGACCCAGATACTGCCCGAAGCACTCTAAACATGGCCTCTTCAACACGTGCAACATCAGCTCTACTCCATGATAAAACCCCTGAAGAAGTACGTTGTCTCTTGAAGGTAGGATCCCCGACCCTTGAGGTAGACTTACGAGCATCATGGATCAACTTCATTAGAAAACAAAAGAGGTCCTTTATTTTTACAAGTTTGCTCTTTGATAAAGACTGGTAAAATGAGATAACGTCCTGTAGTTGGGTGCTGGGTTTCAATCCTTGCAGCAGAAAGATGGATAATGGAAGGCTACAAAGAGTTTCAACAGCTGATTTATAGGATTCAACCGTTAGGGCAAAACTACCAGTACCAAATTCATAACCCCATTCCCCATACCATGGACGGCCTTTGGTAATGGCATGAAGAAGTCGGTACTCCAACCCATACTTTGTTGATACATCCATCACGCTTACCTTCCTGTTTGTTTGATAATGCAAAACAGCATCACAATAACATGATTAAGTTCAATCACAAAGCTAAATGCATACAAGTAATATATAAAACTGTATTGAACAAGACAGGACAAAAAAGAGCACTGATCATAATATTATCTAAGAAATTTCACTGCAAAGACCCTAAATAGGACACATAAACAGAAAATTATCAGCACCAGATGATATGCTCAACCATATTTTTTAGGAAGAAAAGATTCACACTGGCCAAATTAAATATCTGCAAATTGCATATAAGGTATTTAAATAATTTGATAGGTTTTTTTACTAATACAAGATAATTTAAAGGAATCAATACCAAATGTTACCAATCTTTTCTTCTACTCCCTTTTTTCCGCCATAGAAAGAAGGGAGGTGTTGAGTTGTTGATGGGATTTAAATAGATCATCTAACTCAGCATATGTGTATTGCAAAAACGAATTAAAAACGGTATAATTAATTTCACTATTTGCAGACTCATACAAAGCACAAGCAATAACTTCAAGAATACGATTTGCAAGGCAAGGAGAGTGGTCAATCTTGGACATATACGATCAAATTTGCAAGGAAACAAACACTTAGATATCTAACCTGACGGCAAGGGTTTTACACAGTCGGTCCCAGAAATCCATGATATGACATCCTGAAAGAACCCTTGAACCCCCTTCCCTGCCATTGACCCTAAGAAGGTGGCCATATCCATTAGAATGGATTACACCGTGTAAAAGATGAGTTGTGTCCTCCAACTGGTGATACACCCATTCCTCAACATCATCTGTAGTTGCCACATGGCTGCATGACTTGGACCTGGAAAAAAATGATGCAAAAAGAAGTTAGACACGACAACTCGAACAAATCCATGCAATGTTATGCACCATGATAACACATGCATACGTAGATCAATGGAATCACCTTAATTCTGACAAGTGCAGGTTATCTCCACAACGCACACATGGTTTACGGTTGCCACCAATGGCGTTACCATCAGCCGTTATGATGAAGTGGTAGCGTTTTGAACATACCGGATGGCCGCTCCACCCTGATAAACACACCAACACAAAAACCATTATTTAGACATGACGTGTCAAGAAACAAATGGATAATTTACTAAAAAAATGCCTGCAAATAAACATAATTTAAAAAATAAGTGGATGATGAGGTGTAAATATGCAATTGGGTAAGGAAGAAAGAAGCTCAAATACGAATAGATGGTGACGCGTGAAGTATTGATCAGTCTTATTTAGTAAAGATAACTTAAATAAGAATAAAGGAGATGGGTATAATGGTAAAATAACAATGCAGAAAGATGCAATGCCAGCTGTTCCGGAGCCCTAGATGATGGTGTCCGGTCAACATCGAAACCAACCATTCAAACACACGTGCCACCCCACCCACAGATTACAATACCTATAGTTCATTATTTATTCCTATCAACACAATCCAAAATCAAACAAATTTATCGTTTCATTTATTTTCTCCCGAGAAACTCACAGCTCATAGACATTTTTTTAACTCACCTAACACCATTATTATTATTATTATTATTATTATTATTATTATTATGTTCTTTGTCTAATGTATATCTTCTTGTTAATTTTACAAATTATCGAAAAAATAGTACTAATAAATATCCATTTATTTTTAGTATTATTAGGAAAGCATCATTTTTTAAGTGTATGTATTCCCCGTTATCTAAGGAAACTGCAACCGGCGAGCTAACGGAGAAAAATCGGAAACACGGAGAAAGTGACTAGATATGCGTGTAAGACATAGAATCGGTCAATGACTCGGTCCGAGCCCACTTACCAACGACTCGGCACTGATCACAGTAGATGGATCTAGATCTAGCGACATCCTCCTCCACCACGTCTAGGTAGACCACGGAGGAGGAGGGATCGGAGCTTTCCGTCGCGTCGCCGATTCTCAAGACGATCTGCCAGGTCATGACGTGAGGAAATAGCGACGAGAGAGGTGGCATGAGCGCGTGCTTCGACAGGAAAGACCTGATGTTGGCGCGAAACGGCGTGGCGGCGCCAGATCCGGAAGCGGAGGTGGAATAGGAAGGGAACGTGAGGAAGTCGTAAAGATCGGCTGTTACTCTTCTCTTCATCCTTTTCATCGGCAAACCGTTCACGACCATACTTAAAGCAATAGCGGCGCGTGTATCGGATTCAGAGCGCGTGATAGAAGATTGAAGAAGCAATCAAGTGGATCTAATGGGGTACAAGAGGGGGTAGGAGGAGGTAGGAAGAAGAAGAAACGATGTGTGGTTTGTTTTAGCGGTTAGTGTTGAGATGAGGGAGAGAGCAGCTTCGGTGTTTGATCATCAATCAATCAATCAACGTTAATATTATTATATATGATCTGATATTTTATCGCGATATTATCTGCCGAGACTTTATTAAAGTCCGTTTCGTTTGAAATTGAGAAAACAAAAGGAGTGGATGTGGATGGGGTTATTATATCCACAATACGACTTTCTTATAATGCATTCCTTCTGCTGCTTGTCCGTCCGATTGCCGAAGTAAACGACAACCAACTTGTTCCTTGTTCCGGAAGAATCATAGCCATAGTGGGATTTGAATAATTGAAAAACATTATTTTAATATTCCCTATTAAGTCGGTTATTCATTGTTTAGGATTTGTTTTGATAAATATTATATAATCAGTTTTCCTAATCCTATTAAATATGGTTTTTAATTCTATGATGTAATTAATTATTAGCTACCTTCTATGCTAATATTGAGTCATTATTAAATTTAGGGTTACCCAACTCATTTACATTAACTGTATATAAATTATATAAAATGTAAATTTTATGAATACTAGGAGTAAATTATAATTATGACAAATACATTATCAAAGTTAATCAAATCAACGATTCTTTAAATATGTTTAAATATATTAATTTTTTTATATAGATTTAAAACTTCTTATTTATACTCGAGAACATGTCATATTGCATGAAGTATCATTAATTCGTGTCATACCAATAAATAATCATAAATTATTCTTGTTATAAATGATTTTTAGTAAAAAATCAAATATTTCTCATCTATTTTTTTTATGTATAATATATATTCATATTTAATTTATTAATCATTTATAATTTTATGAGGTGAAGAAATATTATTGTAAAACATGTAATTTTTTTAAAATAATATCTAACTTTGAATTATTAAAAAATAGATCTTATACATTAAAAATAATATCCTTATCCACTCGAGATCATAATGTTATTTTTTTGTCATATTATATTATATATATAAATATGACAGTTATGAAAAATATTTAAAAATATAAGTTTAATATACTAATTATATTTTATTGTATTTATTCTCAAAAGTTATATAGTGTAACAATTAAAATATTTTTATAAATTTTCATTTAAATATTTATAATTCAATATTAAAGTTTAACTTGTTGAAAAAAATTTATCACGTGGATAATTTAGTAAAATATATATCTAAGTAATTTTATATTTTTCTAATCAAACATTATAATCTTATATTCGTGCTAAACAAACCAAACAATACAACATTATCATTGCATTCCAATAATCTTATTTCTAAAGATAATTTTACATTTCATAAATCAAATGACTAAAAAAAGATGGACCAAGACGATCACTCCTCTTTAAAATTTTAATTTTTTTTTATATTTTACATTTTTTTTACGTTTATTATTACAAATATAATATCGTCCCTAAAATTATATATGTATCTTAAATTTTTATAAACTCCCCCAGATTTAAATTTTTCTTCGGTCCTGATCGTACAATTGTATAAAATTATTCTCAAGTTGCTTTCCACCTATTCATCTATCCACCAAACCCTAAAGAGATTTGTGAGTCATTTCATTTCATAATTCTACTCAGCCCCAGTCTCACACTGCCCACTAATCTGCTCTCATCCCTCTCTGCCGCTCCTCCTCCTCATCGGAGTTAGCCTGCACCCTTCATCTATCCTATTCTTAGAGGTAAATTTCTTTTTCTTTTAACTATTTTTATGAGGTAACCCTAGTTTTGTTTCTTAGTTTCGAGGTAAATCATTTTGTGAGTTTATTGATTATATTGCTTGTTTTTCATTATTAGTTAATGGGTTTTCGTTGTCTCATTCTAATATTGTTGTTTTTGCGATGCCATAGTTCGTGCCACCATTTTTGTATAGGTTAGCAATTTTGCTCGTGTTAATCATGTCATGCCATGGAATATTTTAAGGTGTTGATTTTAAACATGTTGGCGGTGTTAGTATGTGTCTAGGTTTTGACGTGTTTAGCATTTCGTATTATGTTGCTAAGTCTAAGCAAATCCAATTTGTAAATGTTTTGATCTTTGCAAGTAAAGATTAAAAGAAATGCTTTGTGATCGAGTATGTTCAGCACCGGTGTCTAGCTTAAGACACTTGAAGACCATATACAGGCATTTTCATAGCTAACTGTTGTTGCCCTTTGTGTTTTTTTCTTCTTCATTTTTTGGGGAGGGGGATTTCGTCTACTTCTAAATGTTAATCTTATGGTATGTAACTATAGAATTGTGTTTGGAGGATGAGTTCAAGAAAAGGGAATGGAAACCCATCTTCCAAGGGGAAAGACTTATTTGGATTCTCTGGCACCAAGTTTGAGCAGCTTAGCCAGGGTGTAGAGGACATGAACCTGGGTTTACCTCAAGACGATGGTGATTGGGAGGTTATTCAAAGGAAGTCCAAGAACAAAGCTGGAAGCAGTGCTGCTAGACCTTGGGGTACTCAGAATTCCAATAGTAACTTGCGTGGTGGCATGAACACCAATGCCGGATCAGGAAGAGCCTCTGGCAATGCTTGGGCTACACATAAAACTGATTCTAGGACTGCAGCTGGCAGAGGAAATGCAAGACCCCAAACGTTCAACAAGACTTCCGAGAACAACAATGGGCCACCGTATGGTCCGAATCCTGTCATTCGCCTGCCTCTTCAGCATGGTTGGAATTGGAAATCTAGAGCTGGGTCCAATCCATCAGAGGGGTCACAAGATGGTAGTGGGAAAAACAATGTCAGCGCTGAGGTTGAAGAGGATGATATTGATGATGTCAATGATGTCAATGATGACTCGGATGATAATGATATAGATGATTCTGATGATGAACTTCTAACTGATGACTTTGATTCAGATTCAAGTCAAAAGAGCCATGAAACAAGGAAGAATAATAGATGGTTTAAGAAATTTTTCTCAAGTTTGGATGCCTTGAGCATTGAGGAAATCAATGACCCAGCAAGGCAGTGGCACTGCCCAGCTTGCCAATGTGGTCCTGGTGCTATTGACTGGTATCGAGGTCTTCAGCCTCTAGTGACACATGCCAAAACGAAAGGAGCAAAAAGGGTGAAACTGCATCGTGAACTTGCTGAACTCTTGGATGAGGAGTTGTGTAGAAGGGGCACTTCAGTTGTTCCTGCAGGTGAAGCTTTTGGGAAGTGGAAGGGTTTAAAAGATGAAGAGAAAGATCATGAAATAGTCTGGCCACCTATGGTTATCATAATGAACACAAGGCTGGAACAAGATGAGAACGATAAGGTAGTGTAATATCTTGCGCAATTTTTATTTTCAGATGTACTAAAATAATGAAGCTAATTGTTTCTAATTGAAGTGAAAATACTCTATTTTTATATCCTACTCTACATTTCATTTCTATTGTACTTCAGTGGACTGGTATGGGAAACCAAGAGCTTCTTGATTATTTCAGCTCGTATGCTGCTGTGAGGGCTCGCCACTCATATGGTCCACAGGGGCATCGTGGAATGAGTGTTCTGATTTTTGAGAGCACTGCAAGGGGTTATTTAGAAGCTGAACGTCTACATAAGCATTTTGATGAGCAAGGAACACATAGGGAGGCTTGGGATCGACGCAGGGTTTTATTTTACCCAGGTGGGAAGCGCCAACTTTATGGTTACATGGCTACAAAGGAAGACCTAGACAGCTTCAACCAGCACTCTCAAGGTTCTCTCTATTTGACTGAAGAAAACAATTTATATAATGCAGGGATAACATGCAAGATAACTTTAAATGCACAAGTTTTTTCTTTATCTTTTCCCCCCCACAAATAAGTAGTTCTGTAGATACTTATGCAGTTGGTTGATGTGCTGTATAATTTATCTATTGTTGATTAGGCAAATCTAGGCTGAAATTTGATATGAGATCCTATCAAGAGATGGTTGTTAACCAAATCAGGCAAATGAGTGAGGACAATCAGCAGCTTATTTTTTACAAGAACAAAGTTGCAAAAGAGCAAAGGCTAAAAAATGCACTTGAAGAGTCTTTTGGTATTGTGACTGAGAAGCTCCGTAAGACCATGGAGGAGAACAGAATTGTAAGACAAAGAACCAAGATGCAGCATGAACAGAACAAAGAAGAGGTAATTACTTCAATTCTTGATAGTTTTATGTCTGTGTTGAGCTGTAGTCAGCAGCATTCTTCATATACATGTTGCCAGAAATTTGGTTCTGGTGTATTTATTACTAATTTTATACTATAGTACATATTGTAACCTACTGGTTTGTGATATCTTACAAGGATTGATTAATGGCGCATGCTTGCAATTGCTTATCTTGCTTGATCTTTAATTTTGGATATGTTCATATCTTAGGATCTTCTATTACTGTCTCATGTAGTTTACTATAATCAACATTGCCTTCTGCCCTCTTTTTCTAGATTGCAGTTTTTGTTTGGCATGTTTTGGTTCCATCAGTTCACATGCAGTGCACTATTTATGTATGTTTTGTTCCAATTTTAGATAGTTTATTAGCTATGTTCGTTTTGTTGTAGGCGGAAGAGAAAGTGATAAAGCAGTCTTCTATTTTTTTATAGCTGGTTAGATATTTCATGAGATGCTGCTCTAGGTTGTCATGAATTGCTTAAAATCCTTGACCTTTACCCCCAAAAACTATTGTTGTGCCACAGATGTACACACATCCTGCTTTGTCCTCAAAAAGAACTTGTTATTCAAATGAGCTTTTGTTGTTCACTAATTATTACTAGTAAATGATGGTGGTGGTGATCGTAAAAGTTTCTGTGTATCTGGAACGGAAGCTTCAATTGGCATTACATTTTTATCGTGAGGACCAATGTTTCCACGGTAAATCTAGCTATTTGCTAGGCTTGCAATTAAGGCATGTAGTCAGACATGAAGCTGCTTCGGCTTGATATAGATTCATGTGTTAAACCATCTATTCCATGTTGGCTGATGTTCAAGTAGATGTAGATCGAGTGATCTTCTTCCGGATTCTTCTACTTGATAGAACAGTCTTTCTATTTTCTGCTATTTGACTATATCCTGTTTTGATCTTCCCAGATGGATTACCAAGAGCAATTCTTCCAGGAGCAAATCAAATTCATCCATGAAGCCAGGGATGAGAAGGAAGAGTGTTTTGAGAAGTTG